GGCCCGTGTGTGTGTGCGCGCGCGCGCGCGCGCGCGTCCGGCTTTCATCCCCCAAAAGGCTTCGGGGGCGGAGCTTGGACCTTTGGCCGGTCGGGGACTGGTGCAGAGAGAGCCGAGACCGCTTGGGGACATCCGAACTCGGTCCCGGGTCCAGACACCCCGAGGCCACCAGACGCCCCCACGCACCCCGGTGTCCTGACCTCTGTCCCTTCTGCCTCCAGCTTGGACCTGGACCATGGGCGTTCATGCGGCAGGGGCGCCCAGACCGTGGGCTCGCACGGCCAGCGGCGGGAGTCCTTCCTGTATCGCTCGGATAGCGACTGTGAACTGTCGCCAAAGGCCACGTCTCGGAACTCCTCCACAGTCAGTGACCTGTGAGTCCGGGCTGCTGACAGGCCACCTCCTCCCCTCTTTCCATTATTCCTCCTTTCAGCAAACTCCTTCAAGGCACCCTTTGAAATGGGTTTTGTGGTTTAAGTAGGAGTCTGCCAGGCAGCTAGTTTATTGAGCATGCACCCGTTTTATATCAGCCGATGTTATCTGCCTAATCCTGGCCTGGGTTGGGGTCAGGGTGGTAACCCAGATATATTAAGGCCGGATGGCAGTGAGCAAACCAGCTCGTGGATTTGAGCCTCCTGGCATCTGTAGTAATCATTTCTGATTCTAAGACCCCTGGTGCCCTGGGGACTCGGTCTCACCGTTTATGAGAAACAGAAAAGGTGATTGATGATGAGTAGCAGTGGGGTCGCTGGGGGAGTGGACTGAGGGGCGCCAGGCTCTCCCTGACGGCCCTCCCCCCACAGACACGGCGAAGACCTGATCGTGACACCTTTCGCCCAGGTGGGTGTCACCCTCGCCCGGGGGCTGCGGGCGGAGCCACCCGTTCCCCTCTGACCCGGGTTCCCCCAGGTCCTGGCCAGTCTTCGGACCGTGCGTGGCAACCTGGTGACCCTAGCCCACGGCCACGTCCAGGAGACCACGGGGTAGGCCGAGAGGGAGAACTAGGCGGGGTCGGGTGTGGCAGGGGGGACTTCCCGGCACAAGAAATAATCTTAGAGGCCCGTGAGGAGGTGCCCGCCTATCACCCCATCACTCCATTCAGGAGGCCGAGGCAGGAGGATCTCTGTGAGTTCAAGGCCAGCCTAGACTCCATAAAGAGACCCTGTCTCAAAATATAAATACATTAAACCCAACCTGGGAGATTTAATGACTTGGGAGACCCTGTCTCAAAAGGAAAAAGAAAAAAATAGGCTGACGGGCTGGGGATTTAGCTCAGTGGTTCTGCCGCCTTCCTCACAAGTGCAAGGACCCAAGTTTGATCCCTGGTACGAAAAACAAACAAACAAACAAACAAACAAACAAAAAAAGGCTGGAGCCAGGGATTTAGCTCAGCGGTTCGGTGGCCTGCCTTGCAAGCGCAAGGACCCGAGTTCAATCCCCGGTACCAAAAAACAAAACAAAACAAAACAAAAAAATCGGCTGGAGATGTAGTTCAGGGTGAAGGCCCTGGGTTCCATCCCTCGTACCCTGGAAAAGAGGGGAGGAGGAAGAGAAAGCGGGTGCCCCGGCAGGGCCTGGGGCTGTGGGGTAGGCGGTAGGCGGGTGTGCGGGCCCTGACTTCTGTCCCTTGCGC